GGTGGGATCAGGTGCCATGGAGGAGTGAACATCCCCTACCGACCGGTCAAACCCGCCATGTGCTCATTGTCATGATCGGGAAATAACGGAAAAATCCGTCAATTCATTGTATAAATAATGGACTAACAATTAGTGTGAAAAATGTCAGTCATTTGACTCAATGATAAATTGTTTTTGCTAACACGGTCTTTGCATTGACCGTAAAACTCACGAAATGATGATTTTAAACGAGACTTTTGATACTCTTGTTTCTTCAACTTGTTTGTTAGTAATTTAGCTCTTTTCAAAAATTGTTCATACATAGAGAATGCTCTTGATATCAAATCAAATCTGAAATACATTTTATACAAGAAAAAAAAATACAAACATCATCGCAAGTAAAAGAAAGTTTATGAAAGCAGATAGGTGATCATCAAATTATTTTTGTATATATGCTCTCGACATCATCATCGAAGTTAATCTATACAACAATATTATATTAAGCTATAGAAAAAAAAAACAATCACAGATTTTATTGAAAAATATTTTTAATCATATGCCTTTTTGTTCCCTCTTTAAAAATTTCTACAAATGTACTATTTTCAATTTGAACAATTTTTTATTTAATGATATACTCACCATTTCGTGTATGTCATTTTAAAATTTTTCCACGTTGTCATTCTTGAGCATGTGTAGTTGCCACAAAATAAAATGCAAAATTGATACAATTGTTTTTGCTAACAAGGTCATTGCATTGACCTTAAAACTCACGAAATGATGATTTTAAACGAGACTTTTGATACTCTTGTTTCATCAACTTGTTTGTCAGTAATTTACCTCGTTTTAAAAATTGTTCATACATAGAGAATGCTCTTGATATCAAATCAAATCTGAAATACATTTTATACAAGAAAAAAAATACAAAATCATCGCACGAAAAGAAAGTTTATTAAAGCAGATAGGTGATCATCAAATTATCTTTGTATATATGCTCTCGACATCAACATCGAAGTTAATCTATGCAACAATATTACATTAACTATAAATAAAAAAAAACAATCACAGATTTTATTGAAAAATATTTTTAATCATATGCCTTTTTGTTCCCTCTTTAAAAATTTCTACACATGTACTATTTTCAATTTGAACAATTTTTTATTTAATGATATACTCACCATTTCGTATATGTCATTTTAAAATTTTTCCACGTTTTCATTCTTGAGCATATGTAGTTGCCACAAAATAAAATGCAAAATTGATACAACTGTTCGAAGTCATTGATTTCTTCACATTTTCCAGACTCTTGTCGATACAGTTTCTATCGCAAAAAATGGTATTTCTAGGAATCTTAACTTTGTTATTGTTTTTGAGAGATGGTATTCATGACATTGTTTTCATACTTTGTTTTTCTTATTTTTCTTTTTCATTCTTTTATCAATGTCTTTTATGTTCTTTAGTTCTCCTGCCAAACGACTTAGCTTGTTTTTGTTGAAAAGCAGGGAGAACGAAAGAAGTAAAACACTGTTAAAATTGTGAGTCAGAAAAAGGGGACTTAAATATAGAGTATTACACATTTAACGCAAAATATTGCACAATCTGCACCCCTCCCCCCAGCACCATGCTGTACATAGGAAAAAAGGAGGGGGTGGGCAACCAGTCTCGAATATATATATCCATGGGTTTTTTTTCCAGGTTGACCCCATGCGATGGGTTCTAAGTCAGGAACCCCATTCTGTATGCGATATTCGCTAATAAAATCGATGTATAAAATTATTAAAATACCAGCACATTCAAAGAAATATAAGGATTGCAATACAATCCTCCAAGAAAAACCTATTGTGTCATTAAACACATTAAAAATCTGAGTAATATGCTCTTCTCCTAACTAATTTAATAATCTGTATAACAGATGTGCAAATAGGTTCCTGATGATGGCGGATTTGCAGCTAATTAATATACTATCAAAATCTTAAACCTCGTATATATCACACCGCCGAAACACTAGATTAGTGTCGAGTCAAGTGATTTGAGGTACGTGGCTGATGAGAGTCACTTTATTTTAAACATCATACGATTCACAAAATATATACAGAATGCCCTAAACTGCTGTCTGCCATCTTTTATGTATATTATATTGAGAAATCTTTACATAACATGAAAACCCTCGATACGAGATTAAGTAACTATTCTTTTAGATTTTTTTTTATAGATTTTTTAATGTAAACTACGATTTTGAAAAAAACTTAACATGAAATGTATGGAGTGGTTACATATTTGAGATAACGATCAGTATTTAAGATCAAAAGTCCGTAAAACAATATAAAATAAGAGCACACCAAACACGGACCTCCAAAGCATCAGAGGTGGGTGTCACAATCAATATTTAATCATTTTTTTACATGATGTTTATGGTTTTTATTGTATTTACCCTTTACTGGACCTTTATATTTTATTACCTTTAAAGAACCTAAAGTTTAGATTTGCAGGCATTGCTCAGTTACGGCCTATTGAGGAGTATCTAAACCGCTGCATTAATAACAAAGTAGCCGGGGTCCACGTTTTCATAGTTTATTATTGCTTGACATACAGTCCAAGATGAGTAGATAAGTACCTTTTTTCAACGGTAACCATTTCTCCATAAGGGTTAGTTTACTTTTTTCTTTTATATGTAAGTTTTTGAGTACTACATTAAAGAAGTAAAATTATGTAACTTAAGTTTTTTTTGTTACTGTTAACGTATACAGGTTTTGTTGAGTAGAGTTACTCATGCGTGTATTGCTCTGTTTTTGTGCAATGTACTAAGTTATGTACGCACATAATTCATTTTGTTTTGCCGCTTATAAAGTCGGTGTTGTGGGTTTTATTGTTGCAACCACTTTTGTTAAGATGTTGTGTATTCTCAACGTTGTCTTCAAATATAAAAGTGTTCAGTTAGGATTACCGGCTCTGTTTGTATGATGTACCATAAGTACAGTTGTTGTCAGTGTTTTACTAAGCTACTATATCTATAGTATATGTAACCTGCGACTTCGAATGTTATCAAATTTAAAGGTTCCTGATGTAATTCTAAAATAATCTAGCCATGTGAGTGTTGGTGACGACCTTAACCAGATCGGGAAACCCACCGGGAGCCAGTTGGCTGGAGTCAGTCTTGAAACGGGGCGTGTCTGTGTGGACGTGGTTCTGACCCAACACCTGGATATTGTGCATTAATAGAGACTTTAAGTTCTTTTTACTGTAAATAATATCTATATAAATATGTTGTAATTATTGTTTTTATTGATTTTATTTTATATATTAAAAAATTGTAAATAAAAAAAAATTGTGTTATATCTGACCAAACAGAGGACGACGGCTGTCGTAACATTGGAATCAGGTGCCATGGAGGTGTGAGCATCCCCTGCCCACCGGTCACACCCGCCGTGTGCTCCTTGTCATGAACGGAAAATAACGGAAAACCCGGCGACAATTCAATTTGTAAATTATGGTCTAATAATTAGTATGAAAAAGTCAAGCAGCATTTGACTCAATTATGATTGCTGCCAAGGTCATTGTATCGACCATTGAACATTCAAAATGATAAATTGAAACGAGACTGCTGATATTCTTGTTAATAATTTACCGCGGTTTAGAAATTACACATTCGTATAGCATGTTTTTGCGTATCGAATCAACTGAGAGATATATACCCTGTGTGCTGGTGATAAAAAAGAAGACTTTCAAAAATACTTTTAGTTACATCTAAAACGTTTTGTAAATTTAAAGAAATGTCATGTTTTCATTGATTCGATATATCTACAAGCTTATAAGAATCAGACTTGTATACGAGGGTTGATCGAAAAGTTCTTATTTTAATTTGTTCCATGTGAAAGAAATTAAAAATAACAAATAAAAGTGTAAACACATGCTAATGTTTTTTTTTGAATATATATATATATATATATATATATATATATATATATATATATATATATATATATATATATATATATATATATATATATATTAAGATAGTATATAACACTTTGGCACATGCCATAGAAATTCATAGCCATAGTAGTTCAAAACAGACATCATTCCTTCATCATCATTTTCATTGTTCATACTAAAAGTGAGACAAAACGCACTTAGTATGTATTACAATTATCAAATAAAAATCGTTTTATTATTACGATTGCTTAACCACTTACAAATCTCTGAACGTGGAAGAGTTTCACTGATTTTATTGGATATCTAGTTTATTAGTTGATGATTTTTTGTTCATCATGACATCTTTAGACAGCGTCGAAGTTCGGTCAAGTTATAAGTTTCGTGGAAAATTCTGGAAAACTATATATATATATTAATGATACAGGCTGGACAATAATGCAGAAAGCAACTGGTTTATAAGTGGTGTGATATATATTAGATATTTTTTTCCTTCTTTTTAATTTTTTTTTTAATTTCATTATTTTTTTTTTATTTTTTATTTATTTTTTTTTTTTTGCAAAACGACTGTTATATATAAATTATATATATATATAACAATGCCCAGGCCTTTCTTGAGAACAGAAATGGAGAAAAAGACAGGGTTCTGTACAACTTGTTAGTCGGTTCCGACTTAAGAGGGAGGTGCTTTTATAACATGTTACATGTTTTCAGTTTCAAAAAAGCAGGTATTTGGTATTGATGATAGAAAAACAGCAAGAAAATATAATTGTAAAACTTTCACAGATGTAACCCTTTTCCCCCTATTTACAAAGGATTATGTTTGAGATTAACAAATTCAACTACCTAGTCTCCCCCCGCCACCAACAAGCATGTTATTATTTAAAGTAAGACTACCAGGTACATTGTCTTTTGCGTGCATGTACGATTGTTTATGTATATTTCACCTTATAATAAATACAATATTTATATAACATTATTCGATTTCAATTTTTTTTCTGTGTTCAAAGAGAATTTTTCAGTAAAGTAAAATCGCTTTCAAAACTATTAAATAAATTCAATATTAGGTCACTTGAATAAGTAGTTATGTCTTTCCAAACTTTTACGTCAATTCAATTCCTTAAATCGTTGATAATTTTTATGCTTGGATGATGTATATGTACACAAACCTGTATTTGATGAAAATAACTCAATCGTCGGTGAAGTGAACGAGTCTTCGCTATTAAATCTTGTATAACCAAAATGAATAGTAAGAATTTCTATAAAATAAAAAGAAAAAATACAAATACTGTTTTTAAAATCGCCAACGTTTCACCTCAAATGCCTTCATCTGAAAAAGGTCTGGAATAATTTTTAAATATTTTTTTTTGGTGCATTCTTCAAATCTTATCTAGGAGATTTTGTAAAAGTACTCGTACGTCTGATTCCGTTAATTTTGAAAAATATAAAATCTAAAAGAGTAAAAAAAAAACAACAAATCTTTCAGCTAAGAATGTACGCTTACATTCTGAAATTTGTATTTTAACAGATGATTGTTCAGAACATAATAATGTAATTTTTGCTTAATTCCTAGTAATTTTCAAAATCCTTGTAATAGCAATCAGTGATAGTATTTGTTATATATATTACAGCAATAAGATACGAAGGCCATTCAAAAACAAGACTGTGCTATTATTACATATACGAGGGGTGATCAAAAAGTTCGCAAACTATCTCTATATCTACAAAACCACAATTCAGATTAGAATGAAATTCGGTACACACATAGCCATACACAAGGTCTATAAACAGCATATGCTGAATAAAGTTTCTCTCCTTGTTTGTGACGTCACAATGTGAAAATGACGTCACTATTTAAGTCATTTGTGACGAAAAATGGTTGTCTCAGTCGAACTCGTTCAACAAACGACTGTACAATTTATTGTAATACCTTAGAAATCCCTCTACAGTATCATATAATAATTTGTACACAGTTTATTGAGATAAATGAGTTCCCATAAATTCAATTAATGATTGGATTAATCGTTTTAGTGAAGGAAGGCTGATGGTTAAAAATGATACTTGTCATCTTGCACAGTGAAAGCAAGTTTGAAAAGATATGTATTTTCAATTAAGCAATTTGCTATCAAAAACCTCCAATTAGCACTTTGAAAAATAGTTGAATATTTGAACAATGATATAAGTATTAAATACCTAAGATATCGTTTACTTTAGATTTTAAACATATTAGATATGATAAAAAGGATGCATCCATTCTCTATCCACCTTGAATAAAGGTCTCTCCTGAGACAGAAGATTTGTATTTAATGGTCGCCATGCTTATTTTTGGAAAGGATGTTATTATCCACCCATTCTGTTGCCGAGATATGACCATTTCTGACAAATTAACTGTTCTTGTCATAAAAATTAACTCACATGGAAAGAAATATAAAACTCGGAAAAATCTTTTAACTTTTGTGACAGAACGCTACGGAGGGGGTCACGTGACCGCCAATATCACGTGATTCGCGCATGCGCAGAACGGTGGTTGATGTGCATTAAAATCGGGGAGGATTAATTTAAAATATAATCAACATTAAAACCAATTATTGTTTCTTGTATGGAAGTTATTTAATTAGTTTGCGAACTTTTTGATCACCCCTCGTAATTATGAAATTTCACAGAAACATGTATCTTAAAGATTCCAATAAATTTTGAGCAAAATTTCTGTATTTTAAAAAAAATTCTACTAAGATTATCGGTATGTTGATATCGCTGATGGAGAGGTACGGAGCACGACAAAAAATATGAAGCAAAAGCACGCAGAATCCAAAATTTAACTCATAAATTTTCTATAATTCGCGATATTTTTAGACAATTTTCTCAAATGTATCTTTAAATCGTTCTATTATGATGTATTTAGATTTCTGACGTGATATTTGAAGTACTAACAGAAATAAGGTGATTTTTCTCTGATTCGATGCCAAGAATGAAAACAACTGTGAAAATGACTTCTCCTGAATTGATGACGTACCACACTTTTGTTAAATTATGTGTAATGCACGAGATATCGCCAACACAGATCCAAAATATGCAAATTAAAACATGTAGTAAACTAAGGCATTCGTGACATCCGTCCACAAAAAGCAAATTGAAATTTTAGACCGTTAGACCTCTGTAAAAAAGCTATATTGGAGGAAAGGGAAGAAGATTATCGACGAAAACTTCATCCGGACTGTAAAGAACGTGATTGAGAGTCGATCACCAATATCATACTATATCTCATAAATACCTGCAGTTTTTGGTTTTAAAACAACAAAAAATATGCTTTACTTGTTTAATAGATTTTAAGCTTGACAGGAAATGGAGTATGGGTTGAGTAGATAAGGTAATTCAAACTGTACAGGTACTCTTGGGAAAATGTTTAGAAAATGAAAGCTCAATCATATATTTTTTATGATGCGTGTGAAATTGAAGATTTTGCTGCTCCGTGACTTAATGATATGTCCTGAAAAATCACTCAAAATTGATACCAATTTACAACATTTTGATATGAAATTTTGAATACCCTATAATTAAAGAGTCTTTTATATTATGTGTGACATTTTTCCCGATTATGTGGTCAAATATTTTTTTCTGTGCAACAAGTCCGCGTAATTTTTGAACGGCCCTCGTAGTAATTTTAAGATATATTTTCGTTAATCTTTACCTTGATTTAGGTTCTTACCATTTGAAGATGCAATGCATCCGTGAATATGACTGCACTTGGATAAACTGCAATTACACAACGAACTGCACAACACACCATAATGTGGGTAAGGGCAAGTAGTAGTACAGTTATCTGCGTAAAAACCTGGCGGGCATTCTAAAACATGTAACATAAGTTTAAGCATAATAAAAATAGAAATTCACTCTCTAAGTGTGTAACATATTTTGTTAAAACCATTGCGTGAAACACAGTTCACTTACCATAGCATATATTTTTGACTCTGTATCTAGTTGTGCAGCATCTTGGCTCATCCTCTGTAATAATTCTTACAAAGAAAATTAACAATTAACAATATATGAATTTTGACATTCTTTGCAGAAATGACATCTTAAAAGTCGGATATAAAATGTTTCTTTAAATGTTTAAATTTAATTAATTACAAAAAACAACATTATACTTCAATGTCTATTTGACACATCTTATCTTTGACTTACATAATGTACTCCCCTTAGCATATCATATAGTATTGACATATCTTTGTACATCGTTTACCATTTTATTGTTTTCAGAGAATTTATAAACTAAATTGGAAAATGTAAATAAAGAAAAACTTTGCACGCATTGATTTTCATGACATTATATATAATTTACATTTACATCGACAATCAATTTCTTAGTATTCATGTATAAGTATAAAACCCATACCTCCATGCACATCTGTATGAATAACAAATCGATATCCTCGAAAACAAATAAAGACAGTGTAATATAAAATTTACAAACATTACGCTTGTAACTCAATTCAGTATTTAATTTGATTTGCTCACAAATAGGAATTAAACCATTTCCTCTTTTAAGGAAGTACATGTCTATGATTTAGCTATGGACGAATAAAAACAGGGATTTATATAGAAAATAGAAATGATGTGGGTGGAATGTCGTAAGAGCCTCACAGAATTCATTGTAGAAATGTCTATTCCAGAAACATATTTTAGATACATCAACCTTTAATGATCATGGCAAAATTAAGTACAGCCTCCATTCCAAACTTACTTATTTCCACCTGTCTCTCATGCCCAATAGTTGTCGTCCCCGCACAAAGTTGAAGGTATTCCTAAGGGTCGACCATGAAAGTAGAAGCGTCCTTCTGGTAACTACGTACTTAGAATCGATCCCTTCAGAACCTCATCAGTATTCTTAATCAAAGTTTTCAGAAGTACAGAGCGCCGGGCACATTTACAGAGTAGAATGAATTTCTTACATGAATTATACGTTTATATTCTGATGAAAAAATTATTTTAAAACTATCAATATAAATGATAAGACACTGACCGTGAGTGTTTGATCCTAATACCACGATCCGATTTTTTCAGAATCAGAATTAATCTGGTACCGCAGCTGAATGTAAAAAGAACAGGCCAGTCTGGTTCCCTCTCCTGCTTTACCTCGTATGTGTAGTGAACTACGATAACACTGATTATCAAAAATCCTAAGGCAAATGAACTATGTTCTTTGACTTAGGACTGAAGTTTACAAGGTCATTACTACTGTTTTATATAGATAAAACTTCGTTTTAATTTTGTTGCTTTATTTAGCGTTTGTATTATCTCAAAAGCGGTTGAGAGTAAGAACTATATTTTTACTCGTAACTTTAAAAATTCGGCTACATGTATGTGGTGAACTTCTTGCCTTGAACAGGATGACATAAGCCGACAATTGCTCTTTGAGCAATAAGCCCGGCTAAAAACAATCTGCCAATTCTCCAATCCATTAAAAGAATAACAGAGGTCTTACGGTACCTCCGTTGGACACATATATAGACCTACGAGGAACTTAAAAGATGCAATGTATCGTGTTTTCAGGACCATCTATTGAAGATAATGCTTTTAAAGAGAGAAGGGGCAAGAGTATCCTTGTGCCCCCAACCAGTTTTTTTAACCTTAATATATTAAACATCCGCTTATATATCCCATAAATAAATGAGAATACTCGCAGTGGTATAATTAATTTTTTGCAATATATTTTTTGGCTGATTTCACACTCTCCCCCTTTTTTAATTTGTGATTAAGCATATAAAGATTGGTTGAAATGAAGCCCAAATTATTTTACATTATTTTAAGTCATAACAAACTAGGTCTAATGTGCTTATAGTTACTTTTATCTCATTCTATGTATACCATATATTCTATTCTATATAGAGTGATTAATATCAAATATTTATAGAATACATAGCCAGTGTTATTCTTATAATATTGTTTCTTTCTATTTTCACTTGATCCATGAGTATTTAATTAATGTATGATACGTGACGTTTCATTGGAATTCCAACGCCCGCGCTGGTTAAAAAACGATATTTTTCCAATTTTCGCCTTGAAATACTAGCATACTTTTATTAATTGAATGTAACTATTATGAATATATTTTTTATTTTGTGTGTCAAGCTAACTACGTCGATACATTTAATTTTCATACCTATTTAAATAAATATTTGTCATATCGATATTTTTTTAATCGATGTCTTTTAGCAATAAAAACTTTTATACAATAAATTTTAAATTTTTTGAAGAAACCCTGATGCAATACAACATATAAATAAAAATATGACGTTATAACAGATTATAGAGGAACACCCGCGCAAGCGCGGGAAATTGATTTCATATATAGTTACCACTTTCAACAGAAAATATATCGTTATTTATAGTTTTAAAAGACAGGCTACAGGATTATAGAAGGAAGAAATACTGTGTTCAAAATGCCGCATGAAGTAGCTGTACGTCACCACCCCCACCCACTTTTTGTGAAAACTTGAAAATAAAAAATTCTTTTATTTGTTTTTAATGTGAAACCTCATACAATGTTATGGATATTGTACTTCAGATGTTTTTATTTCATTTTCATGAAGGATAAAGGCAGCGAATATACACAATTTACAAATAAATTGATTTTGGGGGGATATGGGGAGGGGGAGAGGGGTAAAACTTCCCAGGTACTTGGGTCTTGGTTTATAGTTATATAATGTACCTTATCGATATGTAAAAAGGCTTTTTTCCCCTATCAATAAGGTACATTCGTGTACATATTCATAAATCAAATCCCAAGTACGTGTGATACTAATTAGTTTTATTATAAATTTATTTATTCGGACCCGATCAAGCGATCTACTTGTCCTTACTTGCTCGTACTTGGTCATGCTCAAGTCTTACGTGGACAATTATGAATGCAAAATGCAGATCAAAAGCAAAATATTCAAATATAGGGTACACTTGCCTAGTGTAAATTTTAAGCAATATACAATTTAAATATTTCAGAAAGAAATTCCTGCCAGTTGGCTACAATATCAGTTGACTATAGAAAAGCCACATGTCTACACAAAGACCACTTGGCAATACTTCGACCCCTTGGCTTCTCCAAAGCCGCTTGCTAATACCTGCCACTTGGCAATACCAAAGGCCAAAGGGTATTTCTAGCCACCTGACTAAACAGACGCAACTTGGTAACTCAATAAACTTATTCAAATGCCACTTAGTTTCTAGCCACTTGTCTATATCTGTCATTTGGGTAAACCAAAGGTTTTGTCAAATGACAAATTCAAGATTTTACACTTGTCATTAACTCATCAACTTACATTCCATCTTATTAATCTGGACATTAATGTTGCGCATTGAACAAAAAGCCATTTGTCTACTTATATAATCCTTGTGTTAAAAATATTAGTGGCTTTCCCGGCAACAATATGTTTCTGATAATTTTCAAGCATATTTTGCTCGTCTTAACCAAACTTTTGTTTAAATGGTACTTTATTTATATAATATTTGTTTTAAAACTATTTAATCAAATAACCCGTTAATTACATTATTTACAATTAATTATTGATTTAAACAATATAGCAAAAGGGAGATAATTCTAAACCGATTCGTGATGTTCTAGAAGCTTCCGTCAATATTGAGATCGTTGATTGACGAAAATAATTTGCACTTTTCACTTTTTAATCAGTTATCACAACTTATTTCTTTTATTTAATTTGAAATAAGTTTTAATAGAATAATTCAGTGATGACATTTTTTGAAATAAATAATCGATTTTGTGTTGTCAGTTTCATTAAAATTTGCCAGTAGCTTCAATCCGCCAACCGGAATCGCCACCATACTCACGTTAATGCTATTTCATGGCTGGTTTCAGAAAATTGAAGTTTGCTTTTAATTTTATGTACGATACTTACTATCCGAAAGAAATCTAAATATAGTTTATGGACATCATCTTGAATGTACTGTATTATTAGAGGAGTAAATAAAAACTCTGTTGCACCTGTTTCGGAGTTTATTTGCAAAACTATTAATTTATAAGTATAAATGCTTATAAGATAATAAGAAGTTAGACAATGTACAAAAATATAACACAACAAGTGTAGAGACCTTTATGCTTCCGTAGGATTGCCTATATTAATTTCTATAGTTGAAGACATATTTCAATTATTCTAAGTAGCAAGGCTGTATTTCTTTAAAAAAATATGTTCAAAAGAATTTCCGATATAAAAGATTAGGAGATTAACAATGTATTCATATTTTACATTAAAAAGTGTGCATGCATATGTACATGCATTTTGTACATACCATTGAAGGCTGCACTATACTGGTACAATTTAACAATTAATCACTATTGTTACAAGCTGAAGACGCATTATCATATTGTTGACAATGAAGTATCTTTAAATCACATTCTATTTACTAATGCAAACTCTAACACTGCTATACATCTATCTGACTTCATTTCCATTGACAACATGATTTATCTCTGCATAAACATCATTTGAAATGTTGATATCATAACGTTGCTTTTTCTTACTTAGATAGAGTTTTATAACTTTGTAAATTTCATACATAATGGTCAGAAAAAGAAAACTTGATATCACTGCTCCGATTGAAATTACAATACTTCCGAAAGATAGATTGTAGCTTTTTTTAACTTTTCTTTTGTATAAATTTTTGATGCAATAAAATTCGGCACGTTGTAGGATTCTGGTGTTTTCACATAACTTGTTTCCAGTGCATCTAAAATTGAGCAGAAATGAAATTGTTAATATTTCAAGTTTCTGAAAAAGATATCAATATGTTTCTGATTTAAATATTCGATAAAAGATAAAATTTTCTGGGTTTTTTTTTCGATTTATATCTCTCAGAGACATTTCATTTATATATTTTTAAGTGTGAATAGTTCATATCCATATTTTGACTTTACCCCCTGGGTGAAAAGATTAAGTCGAAACGAATCTGCATTACTTTTGGGTTAATTACATAACCTTCATTCAAAAGATTTATTGCAGT